GTGTGCCAAACTTGCAAAATCCGCCTGGCCACACCCAGTTGGCGAAGCACAGGTGCGCTGCGCCTCCGCCTCACCCAGTCTGAGAAACTAGAGCCCATTGTGTGAAGCAACAGGATCATGACTTGTCCTTGTTTTCTAAGGTTGTGAGTTTAAGTTCTGGGTGATGCACAATAAACATGCTAATGCCTACAGTACTCAGGGGAAGGTCTTTTTCACAGTAAACATTCTGACTTGTCATATTAGGAGGAGCACTGGTGTTGCTAATAACACTAATGATGGCCCAACTCTATTCAAGTGCTTCAGTGAGAGGGAGCTAGCATGCAGGATATAATGGTATATAATGGTCCTGAAATCAAAGCAGCTACATGTAATTTAGCCACAATTAATTTCTTTATTTACACCTTTGCTGTTTCCTCTGTGACATGTCAAAATGTCTCCCGTGAAAAAGACCTATTGTACTGTGTGGTTTAGAGACACATGGTTTTCAACATAGTTTTGATTTACCAAGTTTAAGTTTTTGTCAATGCATTTCTGCTGACAGCCCATCCTGTATTTCTCATTTGTCTTTCTGCTCTTTCTATTTTCATCTTCCTCTTTTTTCCATATATGTTTTTCTTCCTTCCTCCTCAAAATGCCCAGCCCTGACTCACGGTGGTACAGCAGCTATAAAGTCCATTTGCTTCCTGAAAGGTTGCTGTGTTTCCGTGATGGCAACAGAAGTATTCCTCCTGCAGCTGATCTCAAATCCTGACAGACTAAACTGTTTAGCAGAAGAAGCGAAAGAGTTGGCTTTTCAACATGGGCTTCTTATGCGCACACTCGAGACCCCCAATTCATCTGAGGTAGGAACAACCACACAGTCTTGTTTTAATTGTTTGTATATGTTTTTAATCCATTTTCCCTGAGTGGTTTCCATTAGAGGCTGACATAAAATGGAGAATCCCATGGGACCCTTGGGAATTAGCTTGCTGAAAATCAAGTCAAGATAACACTGATGCAATAATTGGTTACAAAACATCAATTCATCATTCATCAAAGTCGTGACAATGGTGTAGTTTGTTTATAGCTTCACATTAGCTTTTTACTTCATGTGATTGCATTTACGCTTGAAAAATCATATAAGTGGTATTAATTTGTGAAGATTATCTTGCTAAACAAAATGTGTTACAGCCTACAAAAAATGTCATCCCTTTAGCACACTATTAAAGCACCATATACCGTCTGATAGACAGAATCTGCAAGATCCCAAAAGTTGTTGCGCCCCAGCATGTACATGTATCAGAAGTAAAAATCTAAGTCTGAATGAGGTCTGACAGGTCTGACATGGTGAAGGCAGTGAGGAGGACCCACTGTAGTAACTCTCTGAGGTATCTAAGCCTGGTTTCTGAACACACTTTATGAAAGTCGTGGGATAAAAGGTAAGTTAATGTGTAAAAATTGCTACAAATTGGTCACAAAGGTTGAGTGGCCTGTAAACCAGTGATCTGCAGAGTGAATGCTTTATAGGGGGTGGGGCTGAGGGCGATTTATTTATTTCCATTTTGTACTGCATTTTCAATGTTATACCGCATTAAAAAACAAAGCAATTTTTGCATGAGCATTTTATATCGCATTTCATCTTTGCTGTTGTCGAATTTTCTGCCTCCCTGTGGTCAAAATTCGATAATAGTTCATGTGCAATGTGAAAGGATTCATAATAACCACCCAAGTCTGCAGTTCCCCTCAGCACCACAAGGCGTTTTCAGACAACCAAATGAAACTGTTGGTCTGTATCTGCTATATGTTGAAATAAGCAACTGTAAAAAGTTTATTGTATCAACTTTAAAGGAGATGATATGTAAGTGTTGTGATTACAACTTAGTTTTGCTGCCCCCATGTGGCCAAAAAATCAGTTAATGCAGCTTTAACTTTTCAAAGATGTCAAAACAGAAGACATCAAAATCACTGTAGTAAAATCCATACAGCAAGGGTGCAGGGTTTCTGCAGCAGAGAAGGTGAGTGAGGGGCGGAGACAGGCAATGTTCTTGAGGTGGAAGAAGGCAGTCCTGGTGATGTGATTGATGTAGTGGTCAAACCTTAGCTGGCTGTCGAAGATGATTCCTAGGTTGCGGGTGTGTGGTGAGGGAGACAGAGTGCAGTTATCGAAGGTGAGGCAGAGGTTGTGGGTGGCTTTGGTGTGGGATGTGGGGTCAATGATGAATATGTCTGATTTGTGACTGTTCAGTTGGAGATAGTATGTTTGCATCCATGATTTTATTTCAGTGAGACGGTTGGTGAGTGTGGAGTGGGTGGTGTTGGTGATGGCTTTGGTGGAGATATACAGTTGGATGTCGTTGGCGTAGCAGAGAAACAATCAATTACAGCAGCAAGACCTTCTCTTTCTTTCATAAATATCAGTCTATGATAAAAATAGATAAGAAGTTGATCATTTTAGTGCAGGGCTAACAAGGACTTTACATCTAACCAGGAACAACATTTTAGGCTTAATACACACCTAAAACACAGGATGGAAGATCAGCTCCGAATTCAACATTTCTGGTCAGTAGGCTATGATCAGTGCTTGTTATGGTCACTTAGCAACCTCAGATGCAACCTGTCTCCTCGTCCTTGAAAGTTGCCACAGAATAGGAACAGAGTACCCGGTGCCCAATGTAACGTTTTCCAGGCTGCTAAGACGCTGCGTGTGTCCCGGCCCGAAATCAGCTGACGTCTGAGTGATTAATATATCATGATGTTACATATTGTATTATTTGTTTCACTACATGCACTGGTGCATGTAACTTTTAAAATGACATGCACCTATGTATATGTGTGTAGACGTGCAATAGATGTCGTACAGAACAGATCAACATGATAAATTAACAGTAATCCGTGTGACACAATGAGACAGAAAGAGAGACAGAGAGAGATGCAGGACAGACGGTAATGATAATAGCTTACAACAACATTAATTAAAGAGGCAACAGATAAGATTGTTTTTTTTTTAAGCTTGGTGCCACCTAGCGTCAGCGGTGTTGCTCGCACTGTCGCAACAACCAAATTGACCATGGGGATCAGAGATAATCAATAAAATGTAGGCTGTAAAGCCACCAGTATACCTCTATGTACAGTGGTGGAAAAAAGTTTTCGGACACCCCATGCATTTGTGAAATATTGCATTAAGAATCACTCTGAGGTCTTCAAGTGCAATTTCTTTTAGTACAGTCACAGCCAAAATACTAAATAAATCCTAAAAAAGCCATTAAAAACTTAAAATTGATTGGTTCCATAAAAATACATGAGAAATTTTGAGTATTGGGTCATTTTGGTACCAGTGATGAAGGTCGTTCTTTTTATTAAAAGACACAATTTTTGTTGCCAAGCTTCGTGTCTACATAAAGCCAGCACATTTGAAAGTTCTTCAGACACAAAAATGGCTAAAACAAGGAACCTAACGCAGGAAACACGCCTGAAGATAAAGATTCTCAGCCAGGAAGGGTACAGCTGCCGCCAGATAGCCAGGAAGTGCAGATGCAGTCCTTCAGCAGTTGGATACACTCTGCAGAAATACAGACGAACCAACAGCTTGGAAGACAAACCAAGATCTGGGCGTCCAAGGGTTTCTTCAGCAAGAAATGACCGCATCCTGATCCGCATGTGCAGGCAAAACCGCCGAATGACATCACAGGAGCTTCAGCAGCAGTGGTCAAACCAAACTGGTGTCCAGTGTTCCACCCGCACTGTACGTGGCCGACTTTTAGATCATGGCTTAAGGTCCTACAAGGCTATCAAGAAGCCCCTGATCAATGAGAGACAGAGGTTAGCCCGGCGTCGTTGGGCCCAGGCACACAAGAACTGGACAGCCAGGAATTGGAAGAAGATTTTGTGGTCAGATGAGTCCAGTTTCCAGCTTTATCTTCCTCCTACTAATGTGAGGGTACGCAGAAGGCCAGGCGAAGCATTATCTCCAGCATGTACAGTACCTACTGTCAAGCATGGTGGAGGCAGTATCATGGTTTGGGGATGCATGAGTGCTGCTGGTGTTGGTCATCTCACTGTCTGTGATGGCACATTGAACTCTACCAAGTATTGTACCATTCTCGAAACCCACATGCTCCCTTCTGCGCGTGCACTGTTCCGTCGAGGTAAAAACTGGATGTTTCAACAAGATAATGCCCCTTGCCACACATCCAAGGCCAGTAGAACTTGGCTGCAGGAGCACAGTATCCAGGTCTTAGAGTGGCCAGCTCAATCCCCGGACATGAGCCCCATTGAAAATCTGTGGTGGATTATCAAAAGGTCTGTTTCAAAGCATAAACCAAAGAATTTAGAAGAATTAAAAGCAGTAATTCAAGAAGAATGGGACAAGATTACCCCTCAACAGTGTGAAAGGCTCGTGGGGAACATGCCAGCCAGGATTAGAGCTCTACTACGTGCCAATGGCAGGACTACTAAATATTAATTTGATGATGTGATGGTTTATTTATTTTTTGTTCAGTTTTGAACACATTCTCTGTTATTTGTTGACTTTGATACCGACAATGTTGAGAACTGACATATTGAAACTGTCAAGAATTTAGTTTTGTTAGTTTTTCTTGTAAACAATAAACAAAAAAATATAATTTGTATTTGTTTGTATCTGTCTAATGCAGCCACACCTTTTGAAACACAAAAAAGATTTTTCCACAAATATTTCATGATAATATTTGAGATTGTGTAAAATTTTAAGGGTGTCCGAAAACTTTTTTCCACCACTGTATATGTAGAATGAGAAGGTGTGTGGAAACTATACTAAATAAATGAGTAAAGAGACCGAGCAACAATTATCAGATTTATCTGAAGAAAAAACAAATAATAATGCAAATAATTATGCCAGAATGCACAGTACCAGTACAACAACTCACAGTAAATTATACCAATATGTACAGTGTCAGTACTGCTGTGCGTTGGGTTCCATTCCCCTGTCAGGAGCTATTTTTCAGCAGTCACTGGCTCACTGTACATTATCCCGCTTAGAACATGGATTACTAATAAAACATTCAAATGTTACAACTGGCATCAATATTATTAAATTGCTGGCAGTGTATTGACAGAGGAAAGGCGTTCACCAGGCAAATGGGAGCGGAGGAGAGGATTTTACTCCACTTCTCCCGGTCGGAGATGCTGGGTGCCCAGTAGCTGCGAAGGCTACCCTCACATGGGGCCGGTTGGAGCTCAAATTGAATGGGAAACAAAGTCCAGGGTTCACTTAGCTGGGTGTAACTTAGCTGGGCGATGTCTGTCGATAGCTGCCTCCGTGAGAACAGAACAGAAGGAAGGGAGGGGGGTGTCACTGCCCGAGGGCTGCCGAAGAATGGCAACGAGGATGTCAGCCGACCAACACTCGCTACCCGGTCCCTGGTTGCGGCGATTTGCGATGCTGGCCAGCTAGGAATGAACTAGCAGCCAGTACAGTACAGTCCTCTCTCGTCTAGCTAACATTTAGCCGTGTTACTTACTGATCCATTAGAAAGAAAGCTAGCTGGACATCGGTTTTGAAGTCTCTTTGGTCACGTAGCTCCCTCCATCTCTTGAATGCCTGACTGAGGTTTACTCTTGTTTTTCCTCTTCTTTTTGCTCTTCTTTGCCTCCTCAGACAGAGGAGCTCCTTTTCTTTCGCTAGGCCGTTTTGCACTTGTCTCCAAACTTCTGCCATTGTGCTCGTGACTCAACTATCTCATGCCCAACTCCTCATATGGACCAGCTCCAGTCTCTGATTGGCTGACTGACCAGTTTCGCAATACATGACGCATTTCCTGCTGTAAAGCAGATTTTTTCCGTGAAATTTCGGCACCAGTGGCAGAAGCTTATTACAAAAATTGCAAAGCCACTAAGTAACCTATGTAAATGCTGATAGTCTGATCTTACTGTGTATACTACCCTGTGCAACCCACATTATTTTCATAATGATATATTTAGGAAAAGATGCTATCTGTTGCCTCTTTAAAGTAATAATATTATTATAATAATTACAGTGTGTATATTGTGTGTGTGTGTGTGTGTGTGTGTATATATATATATATATATATATATATATATATAGCCTATATATATATGTATTTATCTTTCTTGGTTTTTCTAACAGCAGCCAGTCACCACATTTGTATTCTGCTTTCAGGTCGTCACCTACGCCCCATTTACACTCTTCCCCACTCCTGTGCCCAGAGCCGCCTTCCTCCAGGCTCTGGATGTGCAGACTCACCTCAACACAATGGTGGACAAGATCAGCCAGGACCCAGACTTTCTGGAAGAGGCTCTTGCAGGGTACAAAGGGAATGCTGGTTGCATGGACCAGAATTTTTAGTTAATGGTTAAAGTTTATTTTTCTTTAAAACATTGTTCAAATGTTTCTGATGTAACAGAATGAAGCACAAAGGGCTTCATCGCTGATGTGCAAGGTTTGATGATTTGTCTCCTTCAACATCACAGAACTATCCAGGCAGATGATTTTACAGCTAAGTTGTTTGGCATATACAGACAAGTGCAGCAGGAAGGTCGGAGACAGGTAAGAAAGAAAGCATAAGGCATTTTTCTATAAAATGAGATAGTCATGGCGGCCAGGTCACAAACATCCTTATTTTATAGCTTAACAATAGGGGGAGATTGCCATAATTGTGACATTTTTCACTTTCCACTCTATTACTCAGAGATTTTTCTACCTCTGAAATATTTTCAGGCACATGACCTACATGTGTCTGCTATCACAAGTTTTTCAGTAGAGAAAAGTGCGTGATGAGTCAAACCAAAAGGGTACGCTATCTGATGTTACACCTGATGCACATGTGAGTCGTGTGAGCTAACTGAAACTGAACTAAAACATTACCCAGTGGTGAAGATGAGGTGATAAAGGTTTATGTGATTTAGAGATTCTTGTAATATGCTATGCTGTGTTTGTAGTGACATGATTATTTCTACGTGTGGGTCTGTTGTGGATGATTTTATGAGTGAAATTTAAACTATGTATTTTCTTTCCAGTCCATAGTGGTGGGTTTAAACCGGTGTGACTACATGGTGGATCAGAGGGAGGATGGGACTCCTTCCCTGAAGCAGATAGAGATCAACACTATTGCTGCTGGTGCTTTTGGCATGTCTGACTGTCTCCCCGTGGTGCACAGGTATCTGAGAACATGTAGGAGAAGTAATAATACTGAAAATATTTTATTGCCTAATGAGGGAACACAAGCCCCTGGCTCACCTATGAAAGCCCTCATATTTGCAGTGTTACTGGTGTCTGTTACGGCATTCCCCGAAAAAAAATCACAAGCAGCGCACAATTAGTGATGCATTCATTTTGGTCAGATAAAGATGGTACAGATCAGTCTGCTGCTTCCCAATGATCAGTTGGGATGTTACTGTTCCACTGTTCGAACGGAATCCGCATTGTTCCTCCTGAATCCGAGGTTTGACAATTGGTCGGAGCCTCCTTTCCAGCCCCCAGTAGTAAACTTTTATAGGGAGGCTGAACAGTGTGATACTGAGTGTAATCTAAAAAAATGGGAACCACCACCTTGGTCTGCCACTCTATAGGCACTGTGCCCGACCTCCATGTGACACTGAAAAGGTGTGTTAGCCAATACAATATCCAGGGCCTTCAGCATCTCAGGGCGAATCTCATCCACACGTGGCACCTTGCTGTTAAGAAGCTTCTTGACTACCTCACTGACTTCTGCAGGATATGGATAAGGCTTACCACAAATCTTCAGAATCTGCCTCCTCCACAGAAGACATATTGACCAGGTTCAGAAGTTCCTCAGAGTGCTCTTTCCACCACTTGACAATATCCCTAATTCGGGTCAGCAGTTTTCCTACCCTGCTGAACACAGCCTGAGACAAGCCCTGCTTTCCCTTCCTGAGGCGTCTCATCGTTTGCCAGAACTTCATGAGGCCAACTAAAAGTCATTCTCTATAGTCTAACTGAACTACATCCAGGTTTTCGCTTTGACGACTGCCACACCTGTAGCCCCTCTGGCCAGCTGATACCCTTCCATTGTTTCAGGAGACCCCTAGGCCAACCAAGCCCAAAAGGCCTCCTTCTTCAGGCTGACGGCCTGGGTTCTTAAGTTGCGGTCATGACAGACACCAGTGACCTCCTGACCACAACTCTTGGCAGCCACCTTTACAATGGAGGCTTTGAACATGGACCACTTGGATTCCAGGTCCCCAACCTCCCTGGGATGCACAGAAATCTCTGTCTGAGGTGGGTGTTGAAGACCTTGTCGATAGGGGCCAGACATTCCCAGTTCATCTTCACTACCTGTTTGGGTTTACCAGGTCTGACCAGCAGCCTCCCCCACCACCTGATTCAACTCACCAACAGGTGTTGATCAGTTGACAGCTCTGCTCATCTCTTCACCTCGGTGTCCAAATGTTTGTTTGTTGTACAGATGAATTAAAAGTTACAATGAGAATGGTGTCATACAAACAACTCATCATGCTGAATCCTCACCACACCTGTAATTTCATTTTATGTAAAACTACGGCTCTCTCTGATTTGTCAGGCACATAGTGAGGTCAGCTGGTCTTTTGGAAGAGAGTGAGTGCATTCAGGATACCAACACCACTCCTGGAATGATGGCTGCTCTCGCCAAGGCATGGGAGCTCTACGGCCAACAGAAGTAAGTGTAGTGATGGTAGAGGTCAGCAAAACATAGTATCAACAAAATATTTCGAAGGAAAGAAGATGTCATGGACATTAAAAATGGCAGGTTTCGGTTGATGTAATATAACAATTTTTTTTAGTGTTTTCCCCCAATACATTTTACTTTGATTTGGTACAGAATTTATCCTAAATGAAAATTCTAGAGCAAAGTGTAAAAGCATTTGAACTTACGCTACATTTGCTTACATTTTCTGTTGTTTCACACTCACTAAATAACTGGTAATGAACTTGATTCCCCTTCTGCAGGGCAGTAATCCTGTTTCTGGTTGAGGATGTCCAGACTTCCAAACTTGATCATCGTTACATTGAGAAAGAGCTCTGGAACAGGTTGGGGCAATGGGCTAAAGAGATCAAGGAAACCACATTAATTAAACAGAAACTTTATAGACTTTCTTTTTTTTAATTTTAATTTTTAATTTTAAATACTTTATTAATCCCCGAGGGGAAATTCAATTCAATTGAAGAAGATGATTCTCTTTCTGTGCAGGAATATTCCAGTTATCCGCAGAAAGTTTGAGGAGGTGTCCAGAGGAGGATCTCTTGATGCCAACAAAAACTTGTTTATGTAAGTATTCATTTACTTTTTATTACTGTGAAACTTGTAGATGTAGAGGGCAGGGTTGGGATATAAATGGAGAGCTTTGGAGGTGCTGGTTAGAGATTTGTTTAACCCTCTGAAAGAGCCAGGCTAGCTGCTTCCAGTCTTTGTGCTAAGCTAAGCTGGCTCTAGCCCTGCTGTTATGAACACATGTAAAATTGTTGTTCATCTTGATGCATTAAGGATATTATTTTACCTGTGACTGGTTATGAAAAATTTTACTAGCAAGGATGGCTGATCACATGTTTTGACCCTCACAGTATTTATGACATTCTTTCGGTCAAGCGATAATACATCAGTTCCTTTAATCTTGTTGAAGATATTTTGGACATGTCCTAATGCTTTTTAACTGTAACTCTGCAGAGATGGGCTGGAGATAGCTGTAGTGTACTACCGCTATGGCTACATGCCAGATAACTACACTGAACAGGTAAGAAATTAATACTCCAGAGTTAATTGAAAACTGCAGTACTTAATTTGGCAACTTGCTGGCAGCAGAAACAAACTGTTTACACAGTATTGACGAATTATCAACTTATGAGGTTGAGTGGGTCAACAGTCATGTATTTGCATATCCAGCATACGTAATAATTATTTTGTGTCCACCTGATGAATGTCCAGTAGTCCAATATTCACTCCTCTTTTAGCTCTGTATTGTCATTTTTACATAGGTAGAAAGCCTCTGGTACAACTGGTCTGTTCAGAATGCTATTAGCAGCACAAGAAATGCCCTTTGGCACCAGGAGCAGTTTTATTACGTTTCACTTACACTTTCATGAGGTTTAGGCACAAAGACTACATGGTCAAGTTTAGAAAAAAATATCATGGTTTGGCTTAAAAAGAAGTATATTAAATTACGTATGTCATATGACATAAATCACAGATTTCACTCGACAATACCTCATATACTTAGGTACATGAATTCCGGACTTCTGGATCAGAGTCCTGCGTTTGTTCTGTCTGCCACCCTGACAACCTTCTTTTCTTTCTCTCGCTTTATACTACCGAAAGTTACCTGACTTTCTCCGGCGCTGCATAACAATTAACACAGCAGATGATGGCAATGTGAACATACTGCTGCAGCACAACCTTATTCATAGCTGTGATACTAATACCCACTACTAATGCCCATTTAATTGAGTGATAACATCTGAACTGGATGATTTCTGGCTCTTTAGCTTATGTATCAATGTTTGACTGAGTTCACCAGGTAGTGGCTAACTCTGTCTGACTGTTGTGTGCTGCTGGCCAAGTGACATACAGTTGGTTTGTCAGAGCTTTTTTTTACTGAACAGGACACTGATGATGAAAGTGCTCATGATGAACTGAAATAGTAAAGTAGTGGGCTGGAAAATCAAAACAAGTTAAAAGACACTAAAGCGCTGAGTGGAAGCTGAGTGACAATTATTTGTAGGCTGTCAGTACCAGTGACTACTTTCACATTACGCATCAATTGCTAGTGTAATTAAAATTATCAGAGCAGCTTCAAAGCTGCATAAACCATTTTTGACTACAGAGGGGGAGAACGTCTTCAAAACAAAGTCATAAAAGTGAGACAGAAGTTGAGCTGGACATCAGGTTCACCTTTTGGGGGAAAAAAAGTCATAGTAATGTCATTGCATGTCATTTACCAGGACCTACTTTCCATTGTCATGTACAGTATTTTCAGGATGCATCACAGAAATATCCAGTCACATAACTTTCAATATTTGTTGACACCTGATGACTTAATGTGTTTCTAGATTATCAGTTCCTTCTGTCTTAAAAACAACAATTGAATTGAGTTAATGGAAAAAAATATTTCCAGTTGTGAATCATTTCTAACACAGATTCCATGTACGATGTAGACTTGGGATGCTCGTCTTCTGATGGAGCGCTCTCTGGCTGTGAAATGTCCAGATATCAGTACTCACCTGGCTGGAACCAAGAAGGTCCAGCAGGCGCTCGCCAGACCTGGCGTTCTGGAGAAGTTCTTCCCAGACCAGCCCCAAGTAGTGGAGCAGATCAGAGCAACATTTGCTAGCCTCTACACTCTAGACATGGTGAGAAAATAACAGACTACAGATCTGTAAATGTAGTGTGAAGTTTCTTTAAGTGTGTCACTGACACACATTGCATGTATCCTTAAGGCCTGACAAATGTCATGAATACCTTTTATTCATCATAAAACATTTGCAAAGCCAATCTTTTTAAATATTTTGAATGCTGCATTGTTCACATCCATAAGAGCTTTCCAATTTCAAAGAAACATATGGTGCCTGATGACTCTGATTATAGATCCACTGCTGCATCACGGTATCACAGAATGTGACTGAAAGAAGAAAAACAAATAGACAGTTCAAATATGTTACCAGAACGGACTGGAAGGAGCCATGAAATCAGCAGTGTATCATCACACAGCAGTTTGTATGATATCCTACCAATTAGCACCCCACAAATGTCTTTATGTACTTCATGTGAAGTTAAGTATTCAACATAAAGTTACATAGGTTTGGTTTAGGAAAAGAGACATGGTGAAGACGTATGTTATAATGACTTTAACTTCACTCAAAGTTCAGGTCTCCCGGGGAAAGTCCTGTGTTTTTTGACCCATCTACCACCCCAATCTGTATGTATCTGCATTACTTTGCATAGAAAAATGTATATAGAGCATTTAAAAAAGCCTGAAATCAGTTATACATGATCTAAATAACATCTTATTTCAGACTGTTTTACAGAGGTGTCAGCTTACCTTTATGATCTGCAGCTACAGTTTGTGGCGCAGTTGAATTTTTTTGCATTATACAGAGTTTTTTTGTTTTTTTAGCTCAGCCTCATTCACTCAGAAATGATTCAGTGCATTTTGTCAGGTTTACGTTTTTCAGTCACATATAGAATTTACATCCAATTGACATAAACCAAACACAAAGAATTTACAGTCAGGTCCATAATTATTTGGACAATGATACAGTTGTCGTCATTTTGGCTCTGTACACCACCACAATGGGTTTTAAATGAAACAATGAATACCTGCTTAAAGTGCAGACTCTCAGCTTTCATTTAAGGCTTTTTTCAAAAATGTAGTATGAACCGTGTAGGAATTACAACCATTTCTTCACACAGTCCCCCAACTTTAAGGGCTCATAAGTATTTGGACAAACTAACATAATCATCAATTAAACAGTCAGTTTTAATACTTGGTTGCAAATCCTTTACAGTCAATGACTGCCTGAAGTGTTGGACACATAGGCATCATCAGATGCTGGGTTTCTTCCCTGGTGATGCTCTGCCAGCCCTTTACTGCAGCCGTCTGCACTTCCTGCTTGTGTTTTGGGTGTTTTGCCCTCAGTTTTGGCTTCAGCAAGAGAAACGCATGCTCAGTTGGATTCAGGTCAGATGATATGACTTGGCCATTGCAGAACATTCCACTTCTTTGCCTTAAAAATGTCTTTGGTTGCTTTTGCAGTATGCTTCAGGTCAATGTCCATCTGCACTGTGAAGCATCGTCCAATGAGTTTTGAAGCATTTGGTTGAATCTGAGCAGATAATGGTGCCCCAAACACTTCAGCTTTCATCCTGCTGCTCTTGTAAGCAAGACAAGACTTCACTAGAATAAATACAGAGGGTTTATCACAAGATGCAAACCATTGGTTAGCCTTAAAAATGGAAGGCCAGATTAGAGTTTGTCAAAAACCATCTAAAAAGCCTGTACAGTTGTGGAACAGCATACTATGGACAGATAAAACAAAGATCAACTACCAGAATGATGGGAAGACAAGAGAAGGAAGAAGGGAAGGAACTGCTCATGATCCAAAGCACACCACCTCATCAGTGAAGCATGGTGGAGGTACTGTTATGTCATGGCCATGTATGGCTGCCAGTGGAACTGGTTCTCTTGTATTTATTGATGATGTGACTGCTGACAAGAGCAGCAGGATGAAAGCTGAAGTGTTTGGGGCACCATTATCTGCTCAGATTCAACCAAATGCTTCAAAACTCATTGGACGATGCTTCACAGTGCAGATGGACATTGACCTGAAGCATACTGCAAAAGCAACCAAAGACATTTTTAAGGCAAAGAAGTGGAATGTTCTGCAATGGCCAAGTCATATCATCTGACCTGAATCCAACTGAGCATGCGTTTCTCTTGCTGAAGCCAAAACTGAGGGCAAAACACCCAAAACACAAGCAGGAAGTGCAGACGGCTGCAGTAAAGGGCTGGCAGAGCATCACCAGGGAAGAAACCCAGCATCTGATGATGCCTATGTGTCCAACACTTCAGGCAGTCATTGACTGTAAAGGATTTGCAACCAAGTATTAAAACTGACTGTTTAATTGATGATTATGTTAGTTTGTCCAAATACTTATGAGCCCTTAAAGTCGGGGGACTGTGTGAAGAAATGGTTGTAATTCCTACACGGTTCATACTACATTTTTGAAAAAAGCCTTAAATGAAAGCTGAGAGTCTGCACTTTAAGCAGGTATTCATTGTTTCATTTAAAACCCATTGTGGTGGTGTACAGAGCCAAAATGACGACAACTGTATCATTGTCCAAATAATTATGGACCTGACTGTATGTAATTTGATCAAATAAAACTAAGACTATGAGAATTTATGTAGCTATAACTCATACAATTAACCTAATTTACTTTATTCAAGTTTTTCTAGTTATTGTTAATAAATTCTGTGTATTTCAAATATGTTAAATGTACTTAAGTTTATTAAAGTAAATTAGGCATATTCCATGAGCTATAGTTACATTCATTCTCACTCTAATTATCTCAGTTTTATTCAGTTATATTTAATTACATATGTGGTATTTTTCATTCATGTTAAAATAGCTTGACTGAATTGGGTAGAACTTTAACATGTCACTGAAATATGTAAACCTGACAAACCAAAACATTTGAATGAAGGGGGTTCAACAGTTGTATTAACACTTCTCTAAAACGGAACACTTTAATTTTAATGACAGTAGGATTCATTGCAGATGGCTGTATTAAACCACATTAGTTTTAACAAGGTGTATTTTTTTTTGTCTGTATTTATCCCAGAATAAAAATGAGAATAATTAGAGAATAATTTTTGAAACTCTTCTGGGCTCCAGGGTGCAGAGGGTGACCAGACAGTGGCTATGGCTTTGGCCAGTCCAGATGAGTTTGTCCTGAAGCCTCAGAGAGAAGGAGGAGGTAAGATGACATCAACATACCCCCAGAAAAAGATAGCAAAGGAAATGCATTGGTATTTCTCCTAATGTTACAATGTGTCAGTTATTATTGCCAAAATTAAGACTACATGACCTCATATGTCTCTGCTTCACCACTTCAGGGAACAATTATTTTGGAGAGGACATTGTCAGAGTACTACAGGAGGTTAAAGGTGACAAAAGGAGAGCTGCTTATATTCTGATGGAAAGAATCCGACCCAGAACAGAACAAAACATCCTGCTGAGGAGAGGACTTCCTCTCAAACTCTCCACTGTTTGTAGTGAAATAGGAGTTTATGGAGCCTATGTGAGGTACAGTATACACAGAGCTGTACAGCATGCATGTGGTGAAAATGAAAATAAAAATCATACATTTATAGATTGTTTGATAATCATGAAAAAAATCTGTGTTATTTGTCTCCATGCACAGGCATGAAGGAGAAATGGTCCTCAATGAGGCTGCTGGTCACATTTTGAGGACAAAGAGCACCGAGCACAATGATGCAGGCATTTACAGTGGGGTTACTGTGCTTGACAGTCCATTTGTCATCTGAACTCTCCTCCTGATATCTATGGAGGCCCTGATCTATTTCATGTCTGTTTGCATGTGTTTTCTTAGTTGCAGTGCATTGAGCTCTCAGGGCCACTGTAGAGCACCAACCTGAAGCAGGAAGTCAATATTTTTCACCAAAATGCTGCAGCTTGCAGTTCCACAGGCTGAACACTGGGTGGCAGTAAAACCAAAGGCATGTTTCTCAAATATAGTTAAACACACCAGCAGATTTAAAAACTGGCTTCAGAAACTAATTCCCAGTGTAGAGAAATGGAGGGAACTAATGAAAGAAGTAAAAGAAATGGAGCAGTTAACATATAACATTAGAGGAAATCCAGGAATGGGACGCACACTGTGGACTAAATGGGAGAGCTACACAAAAAGTAGGGGGGAAATGACATTACATTACGATCTTGCACCTCAGCTTAATATTGAAAAAACAACAATTTAACCAGACATCCAGACTGCCAATAGATTGTTATGGTTATAGATTGCTAACCCATAAGAACCCACCGTGACACAGGTGCCACACATCCTTTAAATGTTCTGGATGTATGTCCCAGAGTGACACATACTTAACATCCTGGTGGAATCATGTGACAGGTCATGTGATTTGGTCTTCCCACAACAACATTTCCAAGATGTCTGTGTGCCAGGTTACCACTAGGGGCAGAGCTAGCTAAATTTAAAAAGCTTGTTTTTGGTTGCCAAAGGTAAGATTCAAACCATTTAAGAATTGTAATGCTTACATAACAAGTCCTTTATTACATTTAACCTGTTGTGAACACATTTCATGAACAAATTGATATAAAACAAGTCAGGTAAATATCGTTGTGACATATATGTCACATCGGACCTTTAACCTTAAAATTGTCAGGGAAAACCTATTGTGACATATATGTCACAATAAGAAATTTTTTTATGATCTGCTCAGTTAACTTAACTTTTCAATGATATTTAGTTAATACATTTTATATTGTTCAATTCAAAGCATATTAAAACAAATGTAAACAAAAAATCACATTATATGAATCCAATTATTAACAAAATATATAAGGAAACCATTTTTACCCATCAGTGAATTAAAAAAAACAGACCCTATATCACTTTGTTCTACCCTATATCATTTGAAAATTTAATGAAAATAAATAAATAATTAAAATTGAAAAGAATAATTGAAAATTGTAATTTAATTTTATCTGCATTATGGATAAGAAGCGATACAGTGTTCAGGATGCACTGACAGTCATCCAGGGAGACGACAGTGACTTTGAGGGATGTGAAAGTAGCTCAGATGACGACCTTGAAGACCCTGATTAAACTCCCAGCAACAAAGACATGGAGAATGACAAGTCAAGTGAGTCTAGTGATTCAGACTGCAGTGAATCAGGTGATTTAGATGAAGTACCTCAACCAAAGATGAACCCTGGACAGCAAAATACAACTACCCAGGAGTAGTTTTTATTTTTATTCAATTTGCAAATTTTTGCAAATGTATTCATTTGTGTGTTGTAAAACAAATATGAAAAGAAAATGTTGTTGTTAAACCTAAGAGGTAAAGTTAGAATCTTTGTTACCAAACAGAAAAACATGACCAGAAAAAGACTGTAGCTCAGTTTTTTTTTACAGCTACAATGGCTTGTTGAGAAGACCTCCAGTATGATGAGGCAGTCTTTTTTTTAAATTCAATTTGCAAATTTTTGTATTGTGAAATAAATCAAAATTTTGTTGTTAAAGATTTTGTTGTTAAACCTAAGAGGTAAAGTTATGATATTGTGGAAATGCAAATAAAAAGACAAAGCTTTGTTATCAAACCAAAAAAGACTAAGGCTGATTTATTTTCAAAAGAGGAATGAATTTATCATTAACATCCATTGACAGATCTTTGACACTAATGAGTGTTATTTTGAGAAAAATGTCAGAAATGTGTTCTATATGGTCTATTTAGTCTATTTTATGTCCCCCATAATTTTCCTTGATGGATAAATTATCCAGGATCTTAACGCCCAATGTAACATATATGTAACATTACAGATCTCTGACAGTGAGGGGTGGTATTTTGAAAAAAATGTCAGAAATATGTTCAATGTGGTCTATTTAGTCTGTTTTATGCCCCCCATAATTTTCCCTTAAGGAGAAATTGGTCCGGGTTCTTACGGGTTTCAACAACCAAAGGGGGAGCACTTTATCTATTCCTTCTTAATTATTATTTTAAATACCAATATTTAGGTATTTTTTTGTTTATGATATGTTTACCTCCTTCCAGCTATACAATATTCAGGAAAGTTAATTCAACATTTATCGTGTATTACTGTATGTGTCTTCAGAAATGAGTTGGATTATATGAACTTCAGTGTAAAAGTGGATGATTGTTGTAATGATGTGGGTTGAGAAGAGCAGGGGATGGAGGGTACATAAATTTTGTGTATTTAGTATTCTTATCCTTTATTATTTTTGATAGTCTTAAGGGTAGATTCTTTGTTTGATTGTTTTTTTTGTGTGTGTATGTGTGTGTGTGTGTGTGTGTGTGTGTGTATTGATTAATGCTGCTGTTTTATTTTTCCTGGCGTTTTTTTCTGTTCTTGTCTTGTTTTTCCTTCCTCTGTTGTGAGGATATGATCAATATGTCACAATGGTGTTTCACATTTTGAAAAAATAAAGTTAAAAAAAAACAAAAAACACCAGTAAATCTGTGGAGTTCATTCCAGGTAACCAAGGCTACAGAGTTTATGTGAGTCTGTGTTTGTCTACACTACACTGAGGGATGAGAACCAGAGGGGCAGAAGTGAATTTCTTTTTTTACCGAAAAATCTGACAGTATACTCAGTGAACAAAAAGTAGTTTTTCTAGGCAGTGATCGGATATTCTGCCACTAGAGGGCACCACAAATGTGAAAACTTTATATTTCATAATAAAGTACAGGTACTAATACGAAATTACTTTTTGCACTCTCTAGGGTCACGTTTCATTTGATGCATAAAATTTGCGTGGCTTATTACAATAAATCTAAATTTCAGGACATTTTACATTCCAAACTTCCAAACCAAAGCTGACACAGACATTCTTTGGATACTGACATGTTTCAAGTGGTGCTCAAATTGGTTCAACAGTGAGGCCGCAGTGATATTCAATACCTTGATCTAATTTGTACTGTGCTGTATGTGCAGCATTTTCTATTTGATCTCAGTTTTAACCAAATGCTTTGACTGTTGTAAGTGCTTTAAGACTATAAAGGCCAGCCAACACCCCTAAAATTACCAATATCCTCTGACAAATCTTGAATATCCCAAATATTAAACTCAAGTAAAAAGAATTTCATTCAATTCACAATTCATTATTTTGAAACCAACCATGACCCACAACAGTCTGCTGTTTCCTCAGTAGTTGAGTGGTAAGGTTAACTTATGATGCAAAGCTTTAGAGTTCAAATTCTCCTCTTGCCATCCTGCAGGTGGTCTGAATCTTTGCATTTTTCAGGTTAACGTTTGACACTTTTCACATAGTGGCACTATTTGTGTATGAATCAATAGACATGAGATGCATTCCAGCTCTTAAATGAAATCAAAATGCAATACAAATGTAGTCAAGCAAAAAAATAAATCAGTGAACGCAACATCAAATGTTTTGGTAACAAAAAGTAACAAACATTCAAATGCTTTGGACCCTAATAAATGCCAGTTGCGGCCTTAATTACATTGTTGTACTGTAATTTTTTATTAAGGTGAAGGTTCTGACTACTTCTTGCACCACTGTTTTCAGTTTTCAGAACAGTAGACCCTTCACTAAGCCCCGCCCTTTTGTGATGGCCCATCAAGCTGTTGGAGCTAGCATGGAGCCCACACTGTAACTAACTGCACTAACTGAAGAAATATTATCATATTTTGAAAAAAAATGAAAAAGTTATTCTAGAGAGAAGCAGACAGAGGGATCTACAGTATGTGTTTGAAGGGTATATCCAGGATGTCAAACTCATCCAGCAGCAAAAACAGGTTAAAAAGACAAAGATGGTTAGAAGCTAAAGCCGAACAACAGGCGACAGATCACAGTGTAAAAGTGAACCACCGCATCACTGCTGATCGACTCAGAAGGCAATAAATATAAAGGGAAACTTGGCGGATATTGAACCAGCTGTGTGGCACCGCAGTTTGTGCAGGTGAACAGTGTTTGCCCCCACCCTCGACTCGATTGACAAATAATGTGTGGTATAGGCAAAATATAGTACATTTTGAAAGACAGTCTGCAAGCCATTTAAAATCAGTCCTCCTGCCACAATTGGACCCTGGGCCAGACTTTGGACATGCTTGGCCTAGATATACTGATGGAAATCCCTGGAGAGCAGGCTCTTCCTGTCTTTCTGTTATAAAGAAACCCCTCGACGGCTGGCCAGCTGCATCGCTCATGTTTGGAGATCTCTGAGGATCTGCAGTGATTGGAGAGAGCAGTCTACGCCGCAGTCCTTCTTTCCTTGTGTGTGCCATCGCTTCGAGGTGAGCATTGAGTTTGTCTATCTGAGCAAAATCATTGTCTTAGATCACTTCTGACACAAATGTGACAAGGGGTCGTTCACTCATGATGAAACGCAGTGAAGCAGTTTTCTCCTCTTCTGAGCAAGCGCTTTAACAACAAGCAGGGTGTAACTCAAATCCTTGATACTCACACAAGGAGGAATGTCACTGATGGACTAGTTTGGTGAGGTACATTTTTGCTAATAATAAAGGCATGTGAAACACTCACAAAAACCATCTTGGACATTGCATCTCCATGAAGTCTGTAGTCCAGTAAAACCTGTCCCTAATGCCCACCCCCTCAAAGTTATACAAAGTTAAATGGTCATAGGGTGTGGCTTCAACAGGTTAAGACTGGACCCTTGACTAAGGCCTGTGAGTCTAAGCAGACAAAACCATGCTATCTTAGAGTAGTTCCACATTGTTGAAGATCTTTCTCCACTACCGTGCCTCTGCAGCGACATTTTCTCACAGGAAAGGGCAGACATTATGCTTTGACTATCTTATTGTCTGAGAGCAAACAAGGCAAAGTTATTTAAATTAGTGGTGGGACACGATTAAAAAAAAAAAAATTAATCAGAGGCTTTGTAATCAATTAATCTTGATTAATCACATTTTTAGCAAATAGCAACATTTGACACAATAAGCAAAGTTTTCAATTCAAATAAATTTTGGTTGACTGAATCAATGAAAGGACATATAGGTGAACTTGCATTTTTTCTACTACAATTTCTTCCTCGATGTACATGGAAAAGACAAGTTTGAGGCATTACATCCAGTCACTGTCACCGATTGGATATGTTGTGTTTCCTGCTCTGTCAATTTCTTTTGTGGAATGTTTTCAATTTCAGGGGCCGGGCAGCTCTGCTGGCTGTCTCTTTTGTTGTTGACAGTGTTATTATTATAAGATGCTGGACAGCTTTGCCTCGTTGTATCTCAAAAACAGAACTTTTGACAATATTTTGATTTCCATCTTACTGTAAACCATTGCAGTCAGTGAAAAATCTATATGTTGTCTAGATGACGTACAAAAATCTCAAATTTTCAAAAAATCATGCAACGCTGATAGCTGAAGTCATAGTATGAAGGCAGTCTAAGGTTTCTCACTTGGCAGGTAGTTAAACAGGATCATGACATGTCCTTGGTGTCTAAGGCTGTGAGTTTCTAATCCCTAATCAGACATAGGTCTTTCTCACAGCAGACATTTTGACTTTTCATTTTGCAATAATTTGCTATTTAGCCATTATTGATTTCTTGATTTCTTTATTTACACCTTTGTTGTTTCCTCTGTGACATGTCAAAATGTCTCCCATGAAAACGACCTATTGTACTGTGTGGTTTAGAGACACATGGTTTCTAACATAGTTTTGATTTAAGAAGTTTAAAAAGTTTTTGTCGGGGCATTTCTGCTGACAGCCCA